GAATGCCGGTGAGAACATCTTTGATCTAAGAATGTGACACATTATATTCTGAATAATTTAAACTGCAGCACATATGGGTAGGCATTTGCCAGGCCATTTAGAATTGAGTAAATTGGAATTACCATCTTAAATCCATGAGAAAACACTGGTTAGCAAGGAAATGAAACAAGCTTAGGGAGGGAGTGAAATAAACAGCTTTGAACAGGGAATCAGGTAACTTTGAGCTAATTTAATATTTCACTAATGCCACTTTGTTTCTTTCCCACAGAGGGATATACATCGTTTATAAAGATGGAGATGTTGATAATCCAATGGTTAAAGAGAGGGTCTGGCAAAATAGTGACTTCAACTTTGATAATGTTCTCTCTGCTATGATGGCCCTTTTTACAGTATCGACTTTTGAAGGCTGGCCAGCGTGAGTGAATTCTCCTTGTATTCACAGCATTGCTAAAAGATTGTTACATTTTCCAGAACAGTTCTCTGTCATTTACCAGCCATTTGTGGGCAACAAAGCAGTCTTAAGTGATGGTATGAAAAGTTATTAATGGAGGAAGGAAATAAACCTACTATCCTTCTGAATCTGTGCACTTTCTCTGTACTTCTTCAGTCACCTTTATCTATAAAGGGCAAACTTATATTGTCTGATTCCTAATCTTGCAGCTACTTCTTCTATAATGAGCTATTCTTTAGCTCTGATGGAAGTATTCCTCTTAAAGGTTTATCCGTCAATGCCCTTTAAATAACACTGATATGAAACTTTTAGGCATTCAAGTAAAACTGTTACTAAAAAGTCAGTACACTGCATAGAGAAACCCAGGAAGAGCAAACTGGCATTCACTGTTTCCCTAAATGAGAAAAGTCTTAAAGGCTAGCTTTATGTGGGGGTTAAAAATAAAAAATACAGACATCTGGTTGTATTACCTGGATTCTTTTGGAAAAAAGCATATAGCATTGTGTGGTGTGATTTTTCTGGGTTTGATATGCTTTGCAAGCACTGTCAGTACCTAGGAAAGGATAATGGTAAACAGCAGCATTTCTGAAACCTGTCCTTTGAGTTTGAATATTTTACTCTTTCGTCATTTTTATACTAATAAAGGTCCAATTGTGTTTGTTTTTCAGGCTGCTGTACAAAGCCATTGATTCAAATGGCGAGAATGTAGGACCTGTATACAACTACAGAGTAGAGATCTCCATTTTTTTCATCATCTATATCATCATTATTGCTTTCTTTATGATGAACATATTTGTGGGGTTTGTGATTGTTACATTCCAGGAACAGGGAGAACAAGAGTATAAGAACTGTGAGCTGGACAAAAATCAGGTTAAAATAAATATTGAACTCTTAACTTTTGAAAGTACTTGGTTTTTATTTATGCATGAAGAGCTTCCATTCTGCTTTGGGTCAGAAGAGGGCACCAAACACATATCTTGGTAAAAATACTGACTCTGTAAATGCTATCAACTGGTATTCAGGTCATTGCATGTACCTCTTTACATAAGCCCAACGTATCAGTCTTTTTGTTGTGAACAGTGTTACATTAAGCTTGTTAGCTTCTTAGTGTCTCATTTGTTGGTGTCACATTAATAAGAAGAGATGAATCCATGATATTCCTAAGTATGTGACATGATTTTGCACACCAATTTAGCTGAACTATTGGGAATAACATTTCCTCAGTAATTATTTAGCTGACTCCAGGGTTTTATACTACAGTTAAAATGGTGGTTGAAGACATGCATGACTCATAGATCAATAGATCAGTTAATGGTCATGCTGTTTACTATACATATTACATATATATAATCTGTGTAGTATAGTACTACGCTGCATAAAAAGGTGAAGCACTTCAGAATGTCCAGGAGCATTATTTGATTCTTTGTATGTGGCTGAGTAGTATATATATACAGTTAAGAATAATCAAATGAGGATGGGTAGGCTACTTGTTTACTTTAGTAATACTACCTAAAAAAAACCCCTACGTGAAGTAGATAGGCTGCTTGTTTTTAAGACATATTTAACAATTTGGCCTTATTAATTATATTAACAGTTGGTTAACTGTTAGGTACAGTCTGTCAATTTTTTATGTATTTGCTTTTACAGCGGCAGTGCGTAGAATATGCCTTGAAGGCACGTCCTCTTCGTAGATATATTCCAAAAAATCCTTACCAGTACAAGTTCTGGTATGTGGTGAATTCTACTGGATTTGAATACATCATGTTTGTCCTCATCATGCTGAACACACTTTGCTTGGCTATGCAGGTAGGAAAACCAGAAGCCTTTTTGAAGCTGTTGGCATAAATAGCAGGGAATGATATGCCTTTAATTTATAGCAACCTCTATTTTTTTATGAAGTGAAATATGAAAAGCAAGCACCTCTGATCATAGTACTCTCCTGTGGCATATTCTAGTCTGTTCTTCAGTTCTCTGAAGTCAAATTGTTTAAAGCAGCTTGGTGTTTATAAAGATCTTCGTAATCTAATCAAGACCTTTGAGCTTTATTTTGTACCTGCAGTGTAATTTAATTTATATATGTGTGTATTCCTAAGATTAGCCATGTGCAAGAAAATCTGAAAAGTCTAATTTTGTTAGCAAAGATTTCCTCAACCCCTTAGATTCTTTTACTTAGTATATTCTTTTATGCAGTGCCTTTAAACATTATTCCACCTCTGTGTAGTTTCTGTACTTGTTCTGCGATAATTTTGTATATGAGCTACTCCATATTTGGTTGGATTGGACAAGATGATCTTTAAAGGTTGCTTCCCAAACCATTCTATGACATTTCTATCATCTGTGTCTGTATCTTCAGAGGTTTAAAAACTTAGTATATGAAACAACTCTAGTTTTGTGTGTTAATGCAAACCTCACGCGAACATGTTTTCGTATATTAGCTTTGTATCTATATATACACTTGTGTGTATTTTTTCATGTTTTTACTTTTTCTACTTTATTCATGACATTCTTTACCACTTACTTCTCCTATGTATTTTCCAAGTTGTCTCTTTCTTTACTCTAGTATTTTAGATATTGATGTGAAAAAGAATGGTTCAAATTCAGTTTACAAAAGCATTCTACCTTTTTCAGTAAACTTGCATGCACTATCGTTTTAAAAATATCACTCCTGCACATTCTGTGTTATTCTGTGTAGGCTTTCTAAGCAAGTGGGACACAAGGTTATGCAATCTTAAAACCTAGAATATAAAACTTGTGAAACTGCTGTTGTGTAATACTCCTTTTTTGAGGAACAGTTTCCTCTCAAAACCATCTCTCTAGAGATTCCCTTAGGATGTAGAGGAATGACAATTTTGTTCCACTCAGTGCCAAAATAGAATAGATTTAAACCACTCAATTCTTGACCAGACATATTCAGCTAGTCTTGTATAAGTGTATATTATAAACACTTTGAGAAAATATTTTCCTGTGTTGCATTTTTGCCAACTTTGTCTTTAGCTGCTTACTTTCACTTGATATTTTAAAGCCTTTACTTTTAAAAGTGTTGTATTTTTCATCCACAGCACTATGGACAGTCTAAGCTCTTTAATGATGCAATGGACATTATGAATATGGTTTTCACAGGAGTGTTCACTGTTGAAATGGTTTTGAAACTGATTGCATTCAAACCCAAGGTAAGTGTTAGATAAGCTTTAATTCAGTCATCACCACAGGAATATAGCTATATACACTATATACACTAGCTATATATTATGCAAAGAACAAAAAGAACCTATGTTTCCCACATTTATCTGTAGAAATGTTAGTCTGATAATATGTATATATGTAACTCCAGGAAATGAAATGCAGATATCGGAAAAAATATTACAAAGTGGTTGATGAGGTCTAGAATATTTAGAGGTAATGAAAATGTCCCTTTATAAATCAGATAAACTACTTCCTGTTACAAGCATTACTGCTTCTGCTATTTGCGGTACTAAATTCATAAATTTATGCTAAGTTAATCTCCAGTAAAGATCTGTATATTTCCTATTCTAAAATACAAAGGTATTTCTTTATAAAATATAGTCAAGTACTACAAACATACCCATAAATAATTTGCATATTCAATAGCCTTTTTTAGAGTTTCATTTTCCGTTATACATACACTATATTTGTATGGGCGCTCCACAGTGAGTAGTTGATTCCTTGCCTTAAAGGGACACTGTCAAAATGAATAATGCAGACACATTTTCAAAGGTAGATTGCAAAAGAAACTGATAACTATAGTTACTAACTGAAAAAGAAGATGCAAATCAGACTGTAACAGTTAATGCAGTCTTTCTGTTCATTTCTCGTACTGCATTTATGACAGTGCACATGTTGATAATAAAAAACTGACATAAATTTTGTTTTCAGTACAATGAAATTAAAGTTCGTTCTGGGCTTATATTTATGTAAATAAGTAAAGTGTGGTCACTTTCTATACATGGAATTTTAAAAAAGCCAGACATGCCATTTGAATTGTACTGATCTCACCACCTAAGGCTGGTGTTTTTCATTTCCACTGCCCTTCTTTTAAAGTAATTAGGATATCTGCATCTGTAATTGACTGTGAGCTGTGCCCTTTCCTGGTGTTCAGTGATCTGTATGACTCTAGGTTGTGTGGGCAATCTTACTCTAGCTTTAAACAAGCTAGTTCTCATACAGCAACATAAGTCATGGCTGCCCAGAGCTCAGCGCGGGGTAGATGTATAACTGCATTCCAGGTTTTCAAAACTATCTGTTCAGTTTGTATTTTGTCACAAGCTCTGCTGTGGAGCCTGATTTAAAGCTAGCTTGTATTTGCCTGCAGAAACAAATTATCACTTGAGGTCTGGTGTTGAGATGTGAAGTGTGGAGTTCTGGGTGAATGCTTACCCACTCTCCCGTAGTCTTGCTCTGCACTGTCCAGTCTATTGTACATTTCTAATGAATTTATTTGTATTTTTGTGTCACCTATCTCATTCAAATGCTAAGGATTTCACATTAAAAATAACACAATATGAGGCCCCTGAGGAGATAGCTCAGATATGTGGACCACAGTGTCATGAGTATGCTGATTGTGTTTCCTGATTTGTATTTCCTGTTCTATATCCTTGTTTCACACTGAAGTTTCAGAAGACTTTGCTGCATTCTATCATCTGCTCTTTGAAAGAAGATTGTGAATCCTTGTATGGTTCTGCGTGCACTTGTGACTGTAGTCAGAAATAGCAGCTAATGCAAAATATAGTGGTCTTATCATAAGTGTATAAATCACAGTGCTCCATTCGTATTAAGGACTTCCTGCTCATTATCAAATGCAATGTCTTAATAACGGTCTCTTAAGACTTTGTAGAATTTGAGTTTTAACTCTGTTGCAACATGCTTTCTATCTGATTGGATGCTTCTACTGTGAGAGATCCCTGGATCTGAACACTGGCAGTTTGAAGGGCAACATTCAGTGAAAGGTCCTCATTTCCTGAATTTCATTCCCCTCTAGATGCAGAACACCTTAAACCTGTTAATTAGCAGGACAAGGTTAAAAGGCTATAGTACTAATCAGACTTCTGACTGAGATTAATTACCAGGGAGTTAAATATCTCTAAGGTTGTTCCTGTTCTTCTTTGAAGATTTGAACTTTTTTAATAGATACCATTAAAAAAAAACCCACCTTTTTGCAATATATATTACATAGTTCAGTAATTGAAAATCAGCTGTCAGTCTTAAAGCAGAATGTGAATGTCTTTTAGTAATCTAAATTTTAAACTAGGTACGTGCTTAAAACAATGAATTACTATAACTTATATTAAGATTTAATAATAGTAGGAACAATCTGAAACCCAACTTAATGTTTCGCTTTAGGGTCTCTGAGGAAAGGCTGATTCATTTCCTCCTCGTTTGTGTCACTGGTGGGTTTCTTAGTCTAGTCTGGCAGAATGGACAGTTTTGTTTATCAATTTAGTGCATATAAAAAATCATCACATAAAACCTCCCTTACCCTTTAAAATTAAGCAGAAAAACATGTTAGATTTTATCTCATCTGCTTGACAGTGTCCCCTTAATATGCTGACAAAAATCCTGTGAAAACTGTGATCTTTTGGTTTCACTGGTCATGCAAATGTAAGACTTCTATAAATTATTGATAATCTTACTCTGATATTGTGTTATTTAAAACCAAGGTACTGCAGACTGCCTTCCAGCTCTGGAATGTATAAAACTTGGATAAGAGATAGATACTAAAAGTGATGCTGAATGTCTGGCACACTTCTTGACTGGGAGATTGGAACACACAGTACTTTACAGAATGAGGCCCGAAACTTGTTAACAGAGTACTAAAAGGACTAAAATATTTCTGTGATAGATCTATAGAGACATATTTTGGTGTTAATTCTCTATGCCTACGTACTCCCCAGGATCTGTGATTTTATCCTTCAGCATTTCTTAATGAACAAATTTTTCATAATGTAAGTTAAAAGAGCAGGCATTTTTTTCTTCACATTGTTCTTCACGTTTGCTAAAATCTGTTCCTTAGCATGGTTTAGTACAGCACAAAACAAAATACAGCTATGAAATCTAAAATAATCCATCAACACCTACCATATGTACAGCTTTGTGATAGCTAGCTGTTACTTAAACTTGTAATGATTTTCCATGTCGTTTTACATCAGATTTTTGTAAGAAAAAAGGAAAGATGGCTAGTAAGTGAATTGATCTTGGGTCATTGCAGTGGTGAAAACAACTTATTTGCATGATGTTTATTTGCTGTGACTTGTCCATTCCTCCCTTTTCCAAAACCATCTTTATTTTCTCTTAGTTTTTGTTTCTTTGTATGCTTTTGCTTTACATATTACTTTGAACAATATTTGTCTATACTGATGGAAAAGGTTTCATAAAATAAATGTGTATTTTAGCTATATTGAATCAAAATATGAATTTGTTTTTTCAGTGCTTTATATTGTAGCATGTCTAGTACAGTAACTTTTTCTGTAGCTGAAATTACCCTTTATTTGAAGGACCTTTTCTGGTTCTCATTGTTGTAGAGGAAGATGGATGGCACATCTGAGGATTGTGCTGATTATCAGTTTGCTGTTTGCCAGTAGTCTCTTGTTCTATGTATGTATATAAATACCACTATTTTAAAATCAAGAAAGAAACTTCTTTTAAGTAAGAGAAATAAAGAATATGAATGATCAGGAGGAATATTATGAGAGTAGCTCCCCTTCTTTAGTTGGCAGTTGCTAATCTCTTTAGGATTATAAATTTGAGTATTGTTGAGGTTGTTCAGCGTGATGTTTAGTAGAGATTTTGGGGATGGCTTGTTCTTGTCATGCAGGATGAGGAAGGAGGAGCAATAGGCAATTATGCAGGAGCTCAGAAATTGATGTTTTCATTCAGGAAGCCAAATCCATGAACACTGGCTTTTGCCCCAAGATTGGAATTGATGATTAATTGAAAAGAACCAAAGCATGTGGCACAAAGGGCTGTGGTGATAATCATACTCTGATCTGTTTTCCTCTTAAAACCCTTCCTTAAATGAGGGAATGATTATAGCAATTTATGCTTTAGAAGAGCTGAGAGAGTAGCATGAGAAACATAATGAGGCTTTCCTGACCTTGCTCAATGCTTACTCGCCTAGAATACACTGTAGAGCTGTTGTCTTCTGTAGCAGCTCTCTTGCAGTCTCCAAGACCAAGATTCCACATGAAAATCGCTTTTTCTTTTTTCAAATAGCAAGGCACTCAAGTGTAACCTTTAATCTGTGAAGTTACTAAACATTCTAATGCTTTAAAATCTTGAGAAAAGTATTGCCCAATTCCGAAAAATATTGTAGCTGATTTTGCGTTTCTGTGCTAACACCACATATAACAAATTACTCAGCTAAAAGTATCTTAAACAGTGTAATAATAAGTGTAACTAGACATAAGGTTAGATTAGCACACTTGTAATTTTAAACATTTTTCTAAATTTATTTTCAGTAGTGACTGACAAGTTAGTAATTTTAAACTGATTATCAAGAAAGGAGAATACACGTGTACCAAATGTACATATCAGCCTTTGTCACGTAATGCACATTTCTTAGTCATGGTTGGCTGATAAATTAATTTGTCTGAATGTGAAAAAGGACAAGTTCAGAAATTTTTGCAGTGCTGAATCTATGTAATAACTAGGCGAAATCCATGTATTGCAGAAAATCTGCATCTCTTGGCTCTGTAGAGTTCCCCTAAACAGAGTAATACATCATGATTTGTTCCCAGTGCAGAGTGATCCTGGAACCTACCTCAAGGTTTCTTCTGAAATATCTTTTTTTCTCAAACATGGAGTTTGGATGCAAATAGACAGCTAATTGCATGATAGCACGTTATAACAATTTGCAGCCCGGTGTGCCAGTAAAGTACATATAGGGAATATATTTAAAGCCATAAGATGTCAGAAGGGAGACTATAAAAATGAATTTTCAGACATTGGAACGGCTGCATTAAAAGCATTAAGAAACTGTTCCAAGATGTGATGGTTCCTAGCACTGAGTTCACTGGTTACAGAATCAGGCCCTGACTGCAAATGTAGTGTGAATTCCTTTATTAGAGGTAGTTTATGAATAGAAGATGAAATAAGCTTTCTAATATTTATGCACAGTTCAGCATTAATTGTGCATTATTAACCAGTGATGAGCTTTTACCCAGTGAATATTTTTACCAGTCACTTAGATAGGACTATCATAAAGTCATTAATGTTAAGGAGGTTTCAATTGGCTTGGTCTTGTAGAAATATTATTAAAGGGATTTTGTCATGTTGCTTAGGTTAATAAGGTTAGAATTTTTTAGCCTTTCTAGAAGTCCAAAATCAATTTTGGTTGGTGGCTTGCTTGCCAACATTGTGCTTATACGATGGTGTACTATGCATGTGTACTGCGTGTGTGTGTGCGCGTGTGTCTGTGTGTGTGTCTGTACATGTATATATATAAAGTATATATATACACACACATGCACATATATGTTGCTTTTCCTTCAGTAGGCAATATTGTTTGTTTTGTTTTGTTTTCTCATTAGACACCAGGTTTTGTTTAACTAATTTCTGTTTATGCAAAACTAAACAGAAGTATGCAAATATTTGACATTTCATGTGTAATCACAAACGTTTGCACCCTGCCTGCTCTGTTCAGGGCTATTTTAGTGATGCCTGGAATACGTTTGACTCCCTCATCGTTATTGGCAGCATAGTAGACGTCGTTCTCAGTGAAGCTGATGTGAGTATACCCCAGCTTACTTTCCCCAGTCCCTACTTCTCTTTCTCTGTCTCCCCACTATTTCCATCATCTGGACAAGTCACAGATTTTGATCTGATGTTTCTAAAGTTTGAGTACAGACCAGTCATGGGTCAATTATGTTGATATGGGAAATAAATAGCCTTTTTTTTCTGCCAATTTTTTTTAGCTATGAAAGGGAAAGATGAGATTGTATAGTGGTACATCAGAGAAGCCTAGAGTGTTTCTGTGTTATAACGCTGTCCTTTTCTTCTCTTTTTTTCTGTTTGTGTTTTTCTCTTGGTCTCTTTCTGCTGAATGCTTGTCCTAACAGCACTATTTCACTGATGCATGGAACACTTTTGATGCCTTAATTGTTGTTGGTAGCGTCGTTGATATTGCTATAACAGAAGTTAATGTAAGTAGCAATTGTTCATGCACTAAAAAGTAATTGCTGTCATCAAGAAATACAGAAAATGTAAACTTTGTCCCCCAAAATCCTGTTTTAGAAAAGTATGTTTTATCCTGGAATCAAAGACCAAAGCATTGATGTAGATGTTTGTGCAAGCTGTTATTATAAATCTATATACCCATATAGTTGCATATGCATACAGCATAGTGAGACAATGAGGATTGTTTTTCTATATACTTACAGAAAATATTTAAAATATTCTATGTATAAAAAAGGAATTAAGCTTCTGTTACTGTTTTACCCAGTGATTTTTGTAGGTAGGTTGACCAAGATAATTCACGTTTCTGTAAGCTGTTTCAATTGCTCAATTTAACAAAGGATTTTTATTTTTTTTCTGTGGGAGGCTTGGTTTTTAGAGCAATGTTATTCATATCATATGAGGTAGCAGTAGGTGGCTTGTGACAGTACTTGGAAAACTCCATCTTTACACCAGAATTTTGACTGATGGCCATTACACTGTAGGTGTTTGGACAACACAAAGATCCCTTTCCAAGAAAGGAAATAATGTTTTTTTGCCTGTCTTCTGTCTGACTTGCTGGTTTTAACAAGGAAAGCTGTATCTCAAAAATGATACATGAAAGATAACAAAGTATCAGTTCTGTGGTAGGTATGCCAGTGGTTCCCATACTTACATGTTTCTTTGTTTAGCTAGTCAAAATAAAATTTCAGAGGAAAGTGCCTCTTCTCTCTAATGCTTCTCGAGACCTCAAAAAGGGAGACTGAAGAAGATGAGACTTGAAGCCATCCTAGCTCAGGGAGCACACAGACTCGGTAGGTGAGGTCAGCGTATTCCATCTGCTGAAGATCCTACCTGTTTATCATTCTGAGAACCAAGTTATCCAGAAATACCCATGGTGCATTCACATCTTTCCCCTTTATCAAAGAAGAGATTAATCAGAGAAAGCTGGAGATACAAATAGTTGCTCAGTGCTCTTTGAAGATACTTAGCTTGCATGTTCTAGAGCAGTCACAGTTTATGAGCTGGCTAATAACATCACTTTTCTCTGAAATTTGTTTTAGTAAGCTAGACATCTTTTTTTTTTTGTCCCCAGTGGATTTTATTATCGACCCAAATGGTTTCTTTTCAGTGGGATATTTAACATACTTAATTTTAATTAAGTGTTTAAAAATACTTCTGAATTTTAATAAATACTCTTCAGCGGTGAATATTTAAGTTGCAACATTTCTATCATATTTAAAATTTATTTTCCAAAATATGTCAGGAAACCACTTCTTAGGATCACGTTCCTCCAGTCAGAATAGCAGGAATGATACCATTGAAATTATTCCATTTAGACAGTACCTTGATTTTGGAACTGTGAATGCCATGATAATAAAGTTGCCCAGGGACATGGAATTGTATTTGAAAAAAACTGTAATCTGTTCTTGGCATTCCAGGATGAGGAATAAAAAGAACAAATGCACAATTCTCAAGAGTTTGAGGACTCCACAGTTGGTTGGATGAGGTACTGAGCACAAAGTATTGGCAAAAGCATGGGCCATGGTAGGGCAGAGATGAGTAGATAAGGCTGCTGCCAGAGGAAATGGTTCTTATGCTGTGCTCATCCAGGTATCCCTTCAGAGCATATTAGAATCGGCACAGACATCGATTACTGGCAGTAGCTGCTGTTGAGAAACAGTGATGTACATAGTTTTTAATCTTGGGTTCTAGCCTGTTTGGTAAGCCTAGTAATACCTATTATAAATGCATTTCAACCAAATATAGAAAACAAATGTATTCTTTTATCTTTTTTTCTAAGATGGCAGATCTTCAAGCATACACACAGTCTATTAGCCCTCATTAAAAACTTCAGATTCCTATATAAAGGTGCAAATTCTACATTGCCATTTCAAAGAGTAAACACAATCAAAATGATTTTAAGGCTAATTCACCTTAAAATTCCTTTCTGGTTTTATGTTAAACTCACAAACTGACTGCGTTACTGTAAAGAACAGTGGAGGAATGATGTGACAAACTGGGAGCAGAAGGACCTTACCCCATTGCTTAGATTTCAGACTGATTTTGCGCAGTTCTCAGCTAGTGATGGATTTTTCTAGCTGTGAACTGAAGGAACCTGAGCTGACAGGGAGTGTCAGTCAGCACAGAACTGCATTGTCCCATCGAGACAAAGTATAACTACAGTTCATGGAGCAGATTTTTAAAAACTGCTTCTAATTTGTTGGGGGTTTGTGTATGTGTTTGGGCTTCCCCCCCCCCCCCAAAAAAAAGTTTGGTTTTAGACTTTCAGCTCAAGTACTTAACATTTAGCCACTCTGTCCATTCACAGAGCCAATGTGAAGTGTAAAGGAGCATCGTATTTGGGGACAGTAAGAAGACCAATCATTTAAAATAACTTTCCCCAATAATTGCGAAATGTACTTGATTGTGCAGAGATTGAAAAATAGTTCAGATGTACTTCTGTGAGCATAGACAATGCCCCTGTATTTAACCCTGTATTTAACACTGTATGAACAGTGTTGACAGCATTACTTGTAACTGCTCACTGCTGAGCTTTCAGCTGTGAAGAACACTGTTGTTTGAGTAATTCACACAGTTGCTTTGAAAATATTCCAGAGATCAAATAGTGATCTTGAGGAAAGGCAGACATATCAGTCAAAAATTAGCACTGTCATTTCTTAGTTTTTTGTCCTGTACTCACTAGAGAACAAAGGCTCATCTTTGTCTTCTTGTACTGCACAGCAGACTGTTTGTGTACTAAGTATTGTCTGTTTCTGGTCTCTTCCACTTTTTTGTGCTTTGTTCGTGCAAGTCAATAGTGTATTACAGTTTCAGTGTGTTTCTGGGCTTGATTTCCCATTTTCAACATGAAACAGTGAATACTTCTGAGTGTCCAGGGAAATTTCTTAGATTTTTCTTTTACTGTTTTGATTGTACTGAATTATTCCTACTTCATTAGTTTGTGTAAATTTCTGTAATTCAAATGCAGGATTTTAGAATCTTTTTTGTAATATTTTTTGGCATTCTGAATTGTGCCATTTTACCTGTACCTTTTACCTAACACTGATAGTGATCCTGGAAAATCTGCAGTTCTGCTAAGATGCTAGCAAGACTTTGTTTTCAGTGGGCTTTCAAGCATGATTGAAATAGCATGTGTGAAAATTCCCCACTATAGAAATGTCTTAAACTGAGGAAGCTCAGCCTTGCTTGAGGGGTGATCTGAAACACTGTAAATTGCTAGCAGTACTGTGACATCAGACCTTGTTGCAGTTGTAACTGCACGAGTACAGCCACCTTAATTGATCAGTGTAAAAGAAGACTTGAAAGAATGTGAATACATAAAATAATGTACTCAAGATGAACTAAACATTCTTAAAGGTTTGCATATATAATTGCCTCATGCTGTGGAAACAACTCAGCATCATTCTGATAGCCTAACTGTGTGCATTTAGGCTAATTCCAAAAGCCGTCAAGTTCTAGTACGTGGCATGTTTGTATCTTACCCATTTTTTTCAAAAGAGTGGGTTGGACTTTCTAGTTACATATCACCTTGATTTCAGTATTACATTATGGAAGTCATATGCCATCTCATTATTTTGTTGTTCCTTTTATTGTTTTTTAACATTTTATAATAATGTGTATGGTGCCCTGAGGCTGATTCTTCTGATCCAGTAACCTCCCATTCACATATAAGCCTGGAAATTTTGTGTTTTGAATATTTTTGGTGCCTGTGGCAATCAGTGTTTAATGTGCTCAGTGATTTACAGGACTGCTCAGCAGCCTCAAGGACTGGATCAGTGACCAACTCCAGAAATTAATCAGCTCAGAGCAACATATATTTTGGCAATACACTATTTTCTATGATTGTTTCTTTAATTTACCCTGTCATTTAATATCCCTTTCTTTAACTTCTTTTATGAACCTAATTGGTTTTCATGTTCATTTTATTTTTAGAAATTTTTAGAGGCAAGTATATATAAGTAAATACATATATATATGGTACAGCAACAAGAAAAATTAAAAGCACTACTAAAACCTATATAATTACTTTTGGGTTTTGTGACCTTTTGTTTTCCAGAAGTTTCACATGACATGCAAGATCTCGTGTGGTCATAAAAATGGTTCCTTTCCAATTAAAAAAGCAGAACAGTGATTGTGAGACACAAGATATGGTCAGTCCATTCTGGGAGATGGACATATATAACTTAAGACAATGAGAGAGAAATAAATTGTAAATAAATTCTGAATAAGTGTTTAAGTTCTTAAATGGAAATGACAGGTTTCAATATGGTCTGACTGTATAGAAATTATCTTCTTTGTCATCTTACAAACCATTTGGATGACCAACACTTGATGACTTAAAGGCATGATCACATGGTTATATAGTAGTAGTTACGAAGGTTTTAATTCACCTATTATATTTAAATTTCTTTTACCATTCATGTGCTGCCAAAATGTCAAGAAAATAATGGAGAGTTCACTTTCCTCTTCTATTCTGCAAATGTTTAATGCAGTTCCCATAGGTTTAAATTCATGCTTGAATTTAAGTAAAATTCAAGTTCTCTGCTGAAA